TCCTCCTCCTCTCTCTTCATCCTGAACACTCGTACGTCAGACTCGGGTTTCTATCACTGCAGAGTTCAGCTCTCTGGTCCGTTCAACGATCAAACCTCCACCGTCCACCTGATCGTCATCCAACGTACGTCTCTAAATTCTTAATCTGTATTTATGGATTATCCTGGATTAAATCACTGACCTCTGACCTTCTGCAGCTCGCCCTGTGGTCTCTGAACCCACAGACAGAGAGGATGCTGGGAACCTGGACTCTCTTCTCACGACACCAGGTGAGTCCAGAGGTGAGCGCTGACCCTTCATGACCTGGTTCAGTGTTCAGAACTCGACATGAAACTCTCTGCTCCACAGATTTGACCACAGGAGGCGTAACAGAGCCGACAGGAAATGACATCACAGGAGGCAGCTTCACAGAGCCGGTGCTGGCGTCAGTTCAGGTAACGACCACTTAAGACAGAGCGGTTCAGGACTCTGAGGAACCAGACTTTATGGAGGTCAGGTGACTCAAAGGGGGGCGTGGCCCAGGGGTAGAGCGGGTCCTCTCCCTGATTTAAGGTCAGGGGTTCAATTCCAGGGCAGTCCACAGACCGAAGAGTCTTTGGGCCCCAGAGACGAGACTGAAGGTCTGAGGGAAGGACATCTCATGTCTCCTCTGTCCTCTCTCAGTGGATCTTTGATGAGAGGGACTGAGACCCAAGGAAAGGACACAAGTGAAGGATGCAGGGAAGCAAAGACACTGAGACGTGTCGTATGGAGAGCTAGTCCAGGCGAGTGACTCCGTAGATAAAGTCACTGTCAGAGTTTTTAGCAGAGACCTCTGATCATGGACGCTGATCAAACACGTTCCTCTTGTTGTTTCAGTGACACCGTTACCATGGAAACGGGTTAGTAAACATGTCCATCCTCTACTTGTGTGTATGTAGTCATCTGTCCAGAAGCAGGAGCAGACCGACACTCTGCAGATCTTCATCGGGAACACGCTGAGAGCCTCCCTCATCATCTTCATCCCCGCGCTGATGCTGACCGCCGCTCACAGTCAGTACACACCTGTGTGTGTGTGTGTGTGTGTGTGTGTGTGTAACAACACACTCTGATAACAGGCGTTTTGATTTTCTACATGCAGGAGTCTGGAGAGCCAATAGGGGAGCAGAGAAGGACAAGAGGCTGGACCAATCAGAGGAGGAGGAGGAGGAGGAGAGCTCTGTGTAGAAACTGAGACTTTCTTTATTCAGTGGTTTTGAAGTTTCTCCTTTTGTCCATCCGGGCTGCCGTACTCTCAGCTGACAGAGTCTAAACAGAGAGTGTTAAAGTCATGACCACGTTAAACTTTGATCTGCCGACGCTCAGATAATAAAACTGTGAATCAGCAGGAAAATGAAAACTATGAAGTGATGTTTTTTTATGTTGTTTTGATTTACTTTGGGAAACAGACACACACACACACACACACACACACACACACCATCAGGCTCCCTGATCTGCTTGAACTCTGGAGGCCAAAGTCTCTCCGTTTTCTGCCGACTCTAAAAACACGAACCGTCATTTCTAAAGTCTCTAAACCCTAAAATAAAATAAAATAAATAAAATAATCATAAATCTGTTTTATTAAGAGGACTGTTCCCGTCTGAAATCTGCCTCCCAAAGTCTAACCTCTGTCAGTTCTCTGAGAACAGGTGAGATTTATCACCTGTGAGAGACTAAAGAAAATTCAAGTGGAGCTTTAACTCCAGTTCCTCAGTTTACTGCAGTTCTCCTCTCTCACCAGCAGGTGGCAGCACAGAGCGCTGCTGAGCTTCTTCTAAATTAAACGTTAGACGTCAATAAAACTGACCGACTGAGACACGAACGAGGTCTGAGGAGTCATTTAATCTGAAAATCTCCGCTCCTGTTTAAACCAGAGTTTCGTAAAGATGTTTGAAATAAAAAAAAACAACTTAAAGTTAAAGTTAAAGACGATGTTTTCAGAGTTTAACCCTTTAAATCAATCCAAACTGTACTTCATTAGGGGGTAAACTTTAAATCTGACTCTCATAGAAGGACTCACTTCCTGTCCAGGTTGTGATTTCTGATGGATCCATAAAGATCTCCACATCTTCACATGGGAACGCTGTTAAAACCGGTTTCTGTGAGTGAGACCGGCTCGGTCAGGACCAAGAGTGAGCAGGAAGTCCGGACCTTTTTGTCCCCTCAGCTGTTGCATCACGTCGTAAACAAAGGCCCGAGGTCCATAGACAGAAGTCCACCCAGAAAGATCTCCTCTGAAGAAGTTCTGAGATGATCCAGGTTGATCTTTTTCAGCTGCATGTCTCCTCTGGATGGTCACCGAGGTTCTCAGAGTTCTAAACATGGTTCCTGTCGTCTGTGAGGGGTGGGGGGTTTACTTTGAGCCTCTGAGGTTCTCCATCATGGTTTGATCCAGGTGAGTGTAGGAGGTGTACCAGGTCTGCCCACCAGGGAGCGGTGTTACATAAAACAGACCTCAGTGAGGAGACGAGAACCTTCATGAACATTCACACAGAAGAGGTGGTTGTTGGTGGACCAATCAGCTTCAGTGTTGCTCAGGTACTTCCTGTCTGTGTGTCTCGGAGGTTGATGGGATCTGAGGGGTAAATCCTGGTCCTCATGAGCAGGTGAGTCAGTGAGCCGAAAAATAATCCTTTAAAATCAGGAGGGAATTAATTAAAATAATAATAATTAAAAATTTAATAAAAAGTTAAAAAATTAAAGTATGTTTTTGTTTTTTCAAGTTTCAATTTGATAAAAAAAAATTGGGGTTTTTAATTTAAAAGGACAGGAGCATTTTTTACAGTGTGTAGAGCAGCTGTGGTATCATGTGGTCTGTGTGTGTGTGTGTGTGTGTGTGTGTGTCTGTACTGGGGCGTGTCTGTGTGTGTGTCTGTGTGTGTGTCTCAGTGTAAATCTGGTGATCTCACAGTTTGTCAGTGTGAATCTGTTCATCATGAAGATCGCTCTGCTCCTCGTCCTCCTCACAGGTTAGTCTGATTGTTTTTTTTCTTGTTTATCTGTTTGTTTGTTTTATTAGTATTTTTATTTATGTTTATTTAATTGATTGTTTATGTTTGTTTGTTTTATTTTTATTTGTTTATGTTTTTTTTTATTTGTCTGTTAATTTAATTATTGATCTGTTTGTTTGTTTTATTAGTATTTTTATTTATGTTTATTTAATTGATTGTTTACGTTTGTTTTATTTTTATTTGTTTTTTTTTTTATTTTATTTTGTTTGTTTATTTATTGATCTGTTTGTTTGTTTTATAAGTTTTTTATTTATGTTTGTTTAATTGATTGTTTATGTTTGTTTTATTTTTATTTGTTTGTTAATTTATTTATTGATCTGTTTGTTTGTAAACATTCTGAGCGCTGATATTCAGACGTGTTACAGATATTTGTTGGTATCAGATCGTCACAGAGGCCAAAACATCAGATGGTTGAAAATCTTTGAGACTGACTTTAGAGGATCCTGTTTCTGATATCTGTTGTTTCCTCTGAGAGATCCTGATCCTGGTCCAGATAACTGGATCTGATCCTGTATTTAGTCTGAACCCTCTGGACCCGTTCTGGTCCGATCTCTTGGTAGTTTCTGGTGAATCTTCTCCGTTCTCCTGTAAAAGGAAGTTCCTGGAGCAGCTTCTTCTCACACTGTGGTTCACCTGTTACTCTGTCGGTCTCACTGAAACCACATCACGGTTCTCAGAATCACCCCCCAAACAAAGTCAGTCCAGGTTCAGGATCAGCTGTGACCCAGTTCTGAACAGCCTCAGGTATTAAAGACCTGACCCTGTTCAAAGCTCCAAACAAAGACACGAGGACTTTCTCTATAAGGTCTTAGATTTAGTGAGTGAGGGTCCTCAGTCTAACAGAGAACCGGGCTGGACCGAGGACAGACGGATCAGACTTAGAGGAGAGGACTGAGGAGAGGACGGGCAGACCGGGGAGTCCTGCAGGGTCCGCTGAAGGTCCTGATGTGTTAGATCAGACTTCAGGGATCACACTGACCGCTTCAAAGTGCTTAGGGTGACCATATATGGTAAAGAGGGCGGAGCTACAGTGGTGTTTAAACACAGAAATTGACAGAGACTCTAACTGGACCCTAAAGTCCGAAATGATCATCCTGCTGTTCTGGAGAAGTTACCGAGGGAGGGGGTCAGCTGAGAGGCAGGAACAGACACAGTCAGACTGAGTTTGACCCCTGCTGGACGGTAGCGGTACTGCGGGTTAAAAGGCCGCTCTTCCCATCTGTGATGTTGGTGTAGAGTTCAGCTCTAACCCCTGACCTCCACCTTCATCCTGATCGTCTCCTAAAAGGTCGTATCCTCCGATCGTAGCTGATCGTAACCATTCAAGTTAACGTGTCAATTTACACCGACTTCTTTCCGTTCCTCTGAGGATCGCCGGACTCCTCAGCTGATCACAAGAGTTCTATTTTTTCTGGACGCCGGAGCATGGCGGATAAATTCAGCACAGATTAACCCGTGCTGGAAAGGAAGTCGGGCACAGACACACAATCTAAAATTTCCGCCGTTCCAGATGTGGTGAAATTTGGGGGTAACAGACTCTGTTTGTGTCTCTGCAGTCAGTCCGAGCAGCAGCAGCACGTCTGTCTCTGGTGAGGTTGGCCAGAGCGTCACTCTTCCCTGTTCCTATGACCGACAGAAACATGGGGCGCTCACAGTGTGCTGGGGTCGAGGAGATATCCCAAACTCTGGATGCAACAACCAGCTGATTTCCACAGATGGAAACACAGTGACACAAACTTCCAGCAGGTTCTTGTTTCTGGGCCGACTGGATGAAGGAGACGTTTCTCTGACCATCCTGAACCTGACAGAGTCCGACTCTGGACGATACGGCTGCAGAGTCCACATACTGGGCTGGTTCAATGATGACAAACATCACTTTGACCTGACAGGTGAGGAACTCTGCATGTTTTCATAGTTTCTCTGAGGACATCTCACCTTCATGTAAAAGGTGGAGCTCCAACAGGAAGATCTACAGCTCTCAGGGTCCCCCACAGACCATCAGGGCCGTCCTGAAGGAGGTCCGGAGTCTTCAGGTTTTTCTACATTCATTTCTTTTTTCTACTAACATCCCGGTTTTCCAGTTTTAGCTGCTCAGACGACCTCAGACACAACAAGACCCCGAGAGACCACCACAGAGTCCGCACACACACACTCAGCAGGTACAACTACACACACACACACACACACACACACACACAGGTAAAGTGTGTCCTCCATCATGTTCATGACGACCTGCTGCTGACTTAGCTGCTCTAAAAACATCTGCTTTCACTTCCTGGTTCTGCAGGTCAGCTGACCTCCATGGAGAAGGCGTTGACTTCCTCCTCCAGCGACGTGAAGGCCGTGGTGAGATGCTTTCACTTCCTGTGTCTAAAAACATGTGATGGAGCGACATGAATTACCTCACTGTGAACTTTATTCAGTCAGCAGCCTCTCCGTCCCAGATTCAACTCTGACCGTCTGTTCCTGTTTCTTCAGCGACTGAAACTCTAAAAAGTTCAGAGACAAAAACAGAAGAAGAAGAAGAAGAAGAAGAAGAAGAAGACGAGCGTTTAAAACAGCGCCGTTAACAAAAGTCAGAGTGAAACTAACAAAGAGTCTAAAACAGTCAACGAACAGAGACGTAGATGGATCCAGTTCAGGGCCGACAGCTCGGTACACTGAGAGCTGGACCATGGAGGGGACGGTCTGAGGACATGTTCTGGTCTGAGGACTTGTTCTGGTCTGAGGACATGTTCTGGTCTGAGGACATGTTCTGGTCTGAGGACATGTTCTGGTCTGAGGACATGTTCTGGTCTGAGGACGTGTTCTGGTCTGAGGACATGTTCTGGTCTGAGGACATGTTCTGGTCCGTCGACAAGTTCTGGTCTGAGGACATGTTCTGATCTGAGGACTTGTTCTGGTCCGAGGACATGTTCTGGTCCGAGGACTTGTTTAGGTCTGAGGACATGTTCTGGTCCGAGGACATGTTCTGGTCCGAGGACTTGTTTAGGTCTGAGGACATGTTCTGGTCTGAGGACTTGTTTAGGTCTGAGGACATGTTCTGGTCCGAGGACATGTTCTGGTCCGAGGACATGTTCTGATCTGAGGACATGTTTTGGTCCGAGGACATGTTCTGGTCCTAGGACTTGTTTCTGACCCCTTTTCTCATGTGTTTTAGACGGATCAGGAGCAGCAGGGGGGCACTGAGACTGTGGTTCTGGTCCTGGTTCTGTCCAGCTTGTTGGCCTTGGTCACAGCAGTCGTAGTCGTCATCCTCAGTAAGTCCACCTGTGAAGACCTCTGTGCTTAGACCGGTCTCTGACTTCTGTCACTGAGATCTGTCCTCCTGGTTCATTCTGGTTCTTCTCTGTTTGTCTCTGCAGTGCGACGATGGAGGCGCCTCAACAAAATGTGAGTCTGACAGATGAACGGGTGAATCTTCTCCTGATTTTCAGATGTTTCAGCTCAAATTCAATCATCTCAGATTAGGAGGTTGTGGTTGATCAAAGTTGGTGGAGCAGATTCAAGTTTCCTCTCTGAGAAGAAGTCATGACTCAGCATGACCTTCCTGACTCAGCACAGATCCACGCCCTCTGCTCTCCGACTGAACGTTCGTCATCTTCCTCCTGGGGTGGTTTTCACACGGTTCACCTCGGCAGCTTTGGTGTGTTCAGAGTGAAACTACAAATCACGAGAAAAAACCGCCCACAAACCAACAAACACCGAAGACCAGAGTCAGAACAGAAACTCTGGATCAGCAGGGGTCCACTCAGCAAGAATCCACAATCTGTATGTGACACCGAGACCATGATGACGATTCTGAAACTTCATAACCCCCGACGTCCACCTTCATCCTGATCGTCTCCTAAAAGGTCGTATCCTCCGATCGTAGCTGATCGTAACCATTCAAGTTAACGTGTCAATTTACACCGACTTCTTTCCGTTCCTCTGCGGATCGCCGGACTCCTCAGCTGATCACAAGAGTTCGATTTTTTCTGGACGCCGGAGCATGGCGGATAAATTCAGCACAGATTAACCCGTGCTGGAAAGGAAGTCGGGCACAGACACAAAATAAAACATCCGGCTTCTTTTCAAAATAAAACACTCCGTGTTAGTCTAGAAGTCTAGAAGTAGATTTCCTCCTCTGGAAGGACACAATCTACTGCTTATATGTCTATGTGTCTGTCTTTAGAGAGACAACTCGTTATCGTGTGACTGAACGTGTTCTTGTGAGTTCTCGTGATTCCTGCTGTCTGTAATCCGCCTTGAAATTCGCCTCACAAACGGATCTGGTAGGAATTAGCGGACGGTGAAAATCGCTGCCGTTCTGGATGCGGTGAAAATTGGGGGTGAGTGTCAAAGAGTCAAATCAATAAAACAAAAAGGTTTAAAACATCATCAGGATTCAAATAAAAGTTATTAGAAAAGGAAAAAAATAAAATAAACTTTGAAGAACCAAAGATTCAAAGTCACCGAACAAGAGTTACTACAGTGGTGTTAGCTTAGAGCTAGAGCTAAAGTTAGCCAACTAGCTTAAATTACCAACATCCTACTGTTAGCCAACAAGCTAAAGTTTGAGGTCAAAGCTCTGAGCATGCTCCCCACATAAAGACTCGCACAGGTCTGCTCTGAGGTTTGTTCTTCTTCATCATTCAGACGTAGTTTCTGAGCGTTACCTGAACCTTCTTCAGGAGCTCAGCTGTGCCTGCAGGCGGTGGTGTCACTAACCACACAGCGGCGTATTTAACGCTACAGACCGCTCAGTCAGCACATTTCACCTCTCCTTATATCCACCGACAGCAGAAACAGTCCCTCTCTTTCTGAACCAGCAGGTGTTCATGTTCACACCTGAGACGCCACATGGAATTACTCGACACGGTAAACGTCGCTGTGATTATCGAACACCTGGAGGCCTGCTGTCCGCAGCTAGATGTTCACACACCTGGGAGCTAGAAGATAGCTTCACAGGCTGGTCTGCTCTGAGGGAGTCAGACATATTCAGTGTAGTGTAAGTCCAGGCAGGCCACAAATCCAAGCTCCGCCCACAGAACATGAACCAGCTGGCAGCTCTTCGCTGCTGCTCTCCCCAACCCGGTTCGTCAGAGGGCTGGTGTGGTCTCCCCGCCTCAGACTGAGCTCTCACTGTCTAATGAAGGTTCTCCTGAGGTAAGTGGTCCAGACTGAAGGAACCAGGTCTTTTGAGCCCACCTGCTCTTGGTAAAAACTCATCGTTTTTTTTCTGTGAGGGTTACGAGCAGACGGTCCATAAGTTCATCAAGATCATACTTGAACTTCTTTGACAGTCGTCAGTTTATGGTCTCAAAGACAGGACCCTGGTTTTCAGAGGAGCCTGGTTTTCAGAGGACCACAGTTTCACTCCTCTGAGTCGAGGCGGACTGCAGCAGGTTTCTTTTACCAGAAACAGAAAGTCTGAGAGCGAGGGGATGGAGCTCTGAGGTTTCCTCTGATGATGATGTGACATTCACAGAGCGCCACGCGAGCGTTCAGACTTTAACCACAAACACTGAAATGTCAGCACGTAGACGCAGAGTCAAACAGGGGGACACCAGCCCACAGGGGGACGTGTAAAAACCTGAACCACAGTTTAGTCTAAAAAGACGTTTACTGCGTCTTCAGTTTGAGCAGCGGAAACACAGATCAGCTGACTCAGACTCAGACCGTTATAAACCAGATCCTCGACACTCACTGAGACCTTTAGGGTCCTGAAGTCTGCAGAGATAAACTCACTCTGAACACGAGTGTCTGTGTGTTTCAGGCCTCAGCAGCAGGTCAGCGGTACCGTTCGCTTCAGTCTGACCCGGTCCAGTCTGCAGCTCCACAGACGAGAGTCAGCCGTGGAGAACATCTACCAGATCGACGGAGGAGAGTACGAGTCCTGCCCCTGAGCCCTGAAGCTCCGCCCACTGACCGCATGACTGTGGCTGGACACCAAAGAAGGACCCCCCACCCTAATTTAAGGCCTTTAGAGCTGCAGTTCCCAAGATGGCCACCAGGAGGACATTTTCAAGCAGAGATGAACAATGAGACGCTGAAAACGGCTTTAATGGTGGACAAAAGCCTCAAAGACGAAGCTGATAGGCTGAAACTGACTTCAACTCCCAGAGTGCTTTGCTGTCTGAAACAACAAATCACTGAGCTTCAAGCTGTTTTAATAAACTGTGTTTGAGAAGTGGGTCGAGTCTTCAGATCACAGCTCTCTCATGTCCAGCAGGGGGCGACAGCTTGTATCAGAGTCGATGAGAAATGTGTCCTCTGCTGATTTAGTCCCTCAGTAAATCTGGTCTTCAGGAGTTCCTGGTCTCAGTCTCTGGTCTACTCCAGGATGAAGGTCAGGTACAGTCCGAGTCCGAGTCCATCAGACACCAACAAACTCTCTGACCCACTGATGGACGGCTGATTGATCCAGCAATCAGTGATCAATATCATCCAGCCCAGTGATCACAGATGCAGAGCGAACTAAGCGCCTGCTTAGGGAGCCGTGGCCAGTAGGGGGCCCCCAAGAGCAATCAAACAATAAATAAATGTTTGTTATTTTTTTGCATGTCTAAGAGATACTTTCTGTCTGATCAAATAAATATTATTGTAAAAATAAAGTAAAAACATTTTCGTGCTGCTGCTGATGTCGGCCGATGGTTCTAACTGTCGATATGTCAAAGCTCCGCCCACCTCTCTGTTCCTCCTGAAATGGTCACTGAGCATCCAAGGAGCAAAAAAGGACGAAAGAAAGAGGAGGAAGAGGAAAAACGCCAAAATAAAGGTCAGTCTGCATGTCAGGGAACGTGAAAGAGATTTGTGAAGGTGTGTGAACGATCAATAATCAATATATTGGCAGAAATAGAGGGCCCCAAAATCACATTTTGCTGAGGGCCCCATTGAGGCTTGGGCCGGCTCTGAAGAGTTCAGGTCAGGGGTCAGGGAAACCTCCAGACCTGTTCCAGAGTAAATCCTGATCAGATCCTCCAGTAGAGGGTCTCTCAGAGTCTCTCAGGGTCTGTGGTTATCAATACCAACATCAGGTCGATCAGGGTTATCAGAGGACACTGAAAATGGATGATTAAGAGAAACATTGTAAAGAAATTGATAAACGATTGTAATGTAGAGATTTTAGTTATCGACTCTTTTGGATCAATAACATCATTACAGAGATCTTTGAACCCGTGTCAAAATAAAAGCACACACATAACTTCCTGTGAGGAAACCCTTTAGAAATAAAAGCCCCCGTCCTGCAGTGACTCGGGTGTCGTTACCTGAAAAAATGACATCATTCAGGTCAGACAGGTCCTTCAGGAACCTCCTTCAGGAACCTCCTTCCCTCTGAGGGACTTCATGGTCCAATCACTGCGAGTCGTCATCAGTCTCAGACACTCACAGGTAAGAGTATCAGCTGATATCACCTGTCCCTCTCTAATCTTCTTCTTCTTCTCCTCCTGATGATTTAATGAGTGGCTCCTGGACTAACCCGCTGTGATCCCGTTTACTGACTGATATCTAAAGTTAAAAAATGACCTCTGATCGTGTTGAAGTTCGTCTGTTTCCTCTTATATCAGAGAGTTCATGATGGACAGATTCATGGTGCTCTGAGTCTGGACTTCTCGGCCTGTGTAGGACTGAAGTTTCCAGGGTTTACTATCAGTATTTTATCAGTATTTGTGCAGTATTTTTCCAGAGGGTTTTGAAGTATTTTTGCAGTATTTTTGTCCAGTATTTTTCCATGGTTTTTCAAAGTGTTTTGCAGTATTTGTGCAGTTTTTCCAGGGTTTTTAAAATATATTTGCAGTATTTTTCTAGGGTTTTTTTTTAAGTATCTTTGAAGTATTTTTTCAGGTCTTGTGTAAATATTTAAGAAAGTGTTTTTCCAGGTTTTTTCTAAAGTATACTTGCTGTATTATTGCAGTATTTTTCTGTGTTTCAGGATGAGCTGGCCCGTGGACTCCCAGCCTCAGTCTGTGGATGTTTTGTCTGATGCTGCTGAGTGGAGCTCTGGGATCTGTGACTGCTGCCAGGACAAGAGAGAGTGTAAAAACTTTTACTTTATTTCATATTTAAAAATAAAACTTTTAGTCCTGAAATTTAAAAAAAAACTGATGTGGTGAGTTTGTGTGGTTGTTGTTTTTACGTGTGTAAATAAAATGTGTTTCAAAATGTTTATTTTCTTTATCTCAGTGAATTTTAGTCTATTGCTGCTCCTGCTTCATGTCTGTCTGTTTGTCTGTCTGTCTGTCTGTCTGTCTGTCTGTCTGTCTGTCTGTCTGTTTAGGCTGTTTTGCCTTCTGGTGCTGCCCCTGCTTTGCCTGTATCACGACTAAAGCCTTGGGTCAGTGTCTCTGTCTCCCCCTGCTGGATGTCTGCGGCTGCATCCCCTCCATCACCATGGCCATGAGGGTGTCTGTGAGACATCGCTACGGCATCAGAGTGAGGACAAAAATCTATTCTTATTTATCTGGCGCCAAATCACAACAACCATTATGTCAAGACACTTTACAGAGGAGCAGGTCTAGACTGAACCTGTAGTCTGAAGGATTACAAAGACCTAAACCTCCAGATGGAACAGATTTAACCATCCAGAAATAAGAGTCAGTCTGAACCCTCGAACCAACAGGAGAGAAACTCTTTACAGCATTCATCAGGTGACAGAGGAGAGGAAGAACTTCCTTTAACAGGCAGAAACCTCAAGGAGGACCAGACTGATGTTAGACCGACATCTACTGCAGCTGGGTTAGGGAGAGAGAGAGGGAGAGAGAGAGAGAGAGAGAGAGAGAGAGAGAGAGAGAGAGAGAGAGAGAGAGAGAGAGAGAGAGAGAGAGAGAGAGAGAGAGGGAGAGAGAGGGAGAGAGAGAGAGAGAGAGAGAGAGAGAGAGAGAGAGAGAGAGAGAGAGAGAGAGAGAGAGAGAGAGAGAGAGAGAGAGAGAGAGAGAGAGAGAGAGAGAGAGAGAGAGAGAGAGAGGGAGAGAGAGAGAGAGAGAGAGAGAGAGAGAGAGAGAGAGAGAGAGAGAGAGAGAGAGAGAGAGAGAGAGAGAGAGAGGGAGGGAGAGAGAGAGAGAGAGAGAGAGAGAGAGAGAGAGAGAGAAAAGGTTTTTCTGGTCCGAGTTTTATCAGTCGGTCTTCCTGTCGGCGTGAAGAGCAGTAGCCTACAGTATATCTACAGTTAATATAGATTTTTTATAACTTCATAAAAATTTTAAAAATTGGAAAAATAATTGATTATCTGTTGTTGTTGTTGTTGTGTCTTCGTTGGTTTAATGTTGTTGTTGTTTCTTACGTTGTGTTGTTGTTGTTGTTTCTTACGTTGTTTTGTTGTTGTTGTTGTTTCTTACGTTGTGTTGTTGTTGTTGTTGTTTCTTATGTTGTGTTGTTGTTGTTGTTTCTTACGTTGTGTTGTTGTTTCTTATATTGTGTTGTTGTTGTTGTTGTTGTTGTTTCTTATGTGTTTTTTTTCTTTGTTGGTTTTCAGGGCAGTCTGTGCACGGACTGCACGTGCGCGTTCTTCTGTCTGCCGTGCGTTTGGTGTCAGATTTCCAGAGAGATGAAGAGCAGGAAGTTACCCACCGTGTTCAGTGACATCATCAGCCGCTGATAATGAGGCACCACCTCCCTTCTGCGCTATCCAATCAGAGACCAGGGGTCCGTTTCACGTAGGTGGTTCAACAAACTCTGAGTTAAATCCTTAACTCTGAGTTGATCTACTCTGAGTTAGGAAACTCTGAGTTTCCGGTTTCACAACACCTGATTTGAGACGGTTTTAACAACTCCGAGTAGTTTGACCTGGAGTTAAGCACGTGCACGCCAGACATAAACAGCCAGCATCTGTGGAGCGCAGATTCAATGATCAACCAATGGAAACAGGGAGAAGGAGGGGGCAGCAGCAAGCCAACAGCGAATTACAGCACGTTTGTTAAAAGAAAGTGCAATACAGCAGCAGCTGCAAAGGAGAGGGAGAGGGCTTGGGAGGAAATCGCTGCTCGCGTCAATGCGTAACTTTAAATCTAGTCTCGTGCAATCACAATGACAGACTGTTGCAGGGAAACTGCTTGAATCATTTTGATCATGTTTTACATTGTCAAGTAAGTATTAAGTGGCAGTTTGATCCCTTAGAAAATGCTCTTTTCACACTCAAAAATGAATTTTACTCTCTTATGATGTTCCGTTAAATGATTAGGAATATTAAACTAACTCTCAGTATGTATATGTACATATATTAAACTAACACACACTACACTCAATATTAGACTTTCACTCAGCAAACAGAAAGAGGGCAGATGCCAGAAAAACGGGTGGTGGCACAGCCGCCCCATCTTTAACGGAGGCAGAGGAGCTGCCCCCCCCTCGACGATCGCAACCCCCACCCCGTAGCAGCGATCGTCGGACTGGTGTGCGTGTGTGTCTGTGGGGGGGGATTTGCGATCGGACCGGCCGCGATCGTCGAACGGGGTGGGGTGGGGGGGGGGGGGGGGCCTGCTCCTCTGCCTCCGTTAAAGGTGGGGCTGCTGGACCACCACCCGTTTTTGTGTTAGTTTAATATTCCTAATCATTTAACGGAACATAATAAGAGAGTAAAATTCAGTTTTGAGTGTGAAAAGAGCATTTTTTAAGGGATCAAACTGCCACTTAATACTTACTTGACAATGTAAAACATGATCAAAATGAGAAAATGCCGATGTCTCACCTGAAACTCTGGGTTTACTGAGTTAAACCTGCTCCCGAGCAGGTTAGGTTCACGGAGTCTGTTACTGTGGTAACTGACCGCGAGGCTGAGTTACCTCTCTTTGTGAAACAGGTTAGAGTTACCCCTCTCTCCCTGGTTTAACTAACCCTCCTTTGTGAAACGGAAAACTCAGAGTTTCCCTGATTTCAGGATTAACAAACTCGGAGTTTCCACTAAACCTGCTACGTGAAACGGACCTCTGATTAGATCAGAGCCATTAAACTCTGTTTACAGTTTGATGTTTACAAGTTAAATTAAAAAATACTTTATGAATATAATTTTTTCATATTCTTGTATTTTCTGATCTTTTTGAAACGTTAAGTCTGTTTGTGTTTTTATTCATTTTTATACATTTTTAACTTTTGTTACTTAGTGTCATTTCAGCCTTTGTGTTTTTGTTTCTGCACAAATTTACAGCAAACCTTAATAAACAGTCAGTGAGAGCTGTGGTCAGTGGATACAGTTGATGAAAAGATGATTATCCTGAACACAAAAATAACTTTAAAGAGACTCAAAGTGAAAATGTGATCAAAATTAAATAAGGCACTCAGAACAAAAACACAATAAAATGTCTGTCATCACAAATACAGTTTACAAGCTATAAAACACTAAATATTTCACCAAATTAGATTCATAGTACCGTTTCTGTAACCCATTCATGTAAAAACACCGAAACTACAACATTAACGTTCTCAGAGTCATTTAGGCGCCAAACACTCAGCGGTTCATTCATTTAAACTCGGAGGTGCTAAAAAAACTGGACGAAATTAAACATACCTGCTGTGATTAAGGGCGGTTTAATGTTGACTCTTATTCCTTCTTCTTTTTAATTCTTGAAACTTCTCCGAACTTTAATGAACCTGCTGCTTTTAAAGAGCTTCTTTAGCGCCATCTTCTGAGGCGTCCCGATCGTTTCTTCACCGGAAGGAAACTCAATAGCGAACATTAGTTCCGCCTGAATATAAGTTCACGTTAACGGGGAAAAAATGGATGGACAACCAAAAACTTACGAATGGATAATGGAGAGCAGCAGTTACACACATAGATATATCTATAAGAAAGGCTAGATGTCTTACACACGCTGTTAGCCAATGGAGACCAACGTCCGCGCATGGCGGCCATCTTGCTTCACTCCTAACATTCCAGTCTGCCGTTAATGTAACATTTAAATAACCACAGATCCACAGCGAGTCTGTTAGCCAAGTTAGACAGCTGATAAACACAAGACCATCCACAAAGACTGACACTTAGACTAAAATATAGACTTTTGGGGGTTTCAAAACAACAAACTTTGATAATTTATGAAAAACTTCATGACGAGGATCTTACACTAATGTCGTGTCATATGAGTTATTATAATTATTTACAGGATTTATTAAATAGTGGAAAGAAAAGCAGAATAAAAGAGGCTCTTCTTCGGGTTTTCCTCATAGACTGTTTGTCCTCCAGTCCGCTGGGGGCAGCACTGCTGTGGTCTCTATTCAAACAGACGAAGAAGAAGAAGCTCCAACACGTGGGTTTCCTTACCCTGCGTGGTCTGAAGTCAGGAGTCTGATCACTCAATCAGCGGAGAATTATTGTTTTTTTTATCGATTAAATTTGATCAAAAATGACCAAAACGAAGAAAGAGAAGCTTCCGGCGGACGGAGAGGAGACGGCGGCCTCAGACGGACCGGAGAGGTCTTACCAGGACCTGGTCGCTAATCTGAACCCGATCGCCCAGCCGCTGGCCTCCAAAAAACTCAGCAAGAAGCTCTACAAATGTGTAAAAAAGGGTAAAAACTGTTTAATGTTTGAGTGGAGAGAGAGGAGGACTGTGTCTGAAATCTAAAAAACATCCTACTAATGTGTTTAAAAGATTTAGTCACCAAACTCCGTTTAAAATCGGAAGGATTTTAACTCTTCAGTGTGTCAGCGGACCTGAAAAATGCAGCAGATCCAGAAATGAGATATTAAATCATTCATTGGATTCTTAGTATTAATTCGGTTAATTAAAAAATCATCAAAAGTAGAAACAGACAAAAGTTTGGGTTGATAAAGATGTCAGGGAACCTTCGTGTGTGTTCATGTTTCTGTTACAAACCTGGACCAGCTGCACAGATATTCACCTTCTGTTTTAAACCTGATTCAGTTTCTTCAGGACCTGTTTTTAGGGCCCAGTGTTTAAGACTAAAGAGAATACGGGGGTCCTGAGGGTCACCTGCGTGGACCTTTTTATAAACACTAACAGTTTAAAATGTTCCTTTAAAAGTCACACAGCGGGAAATAACAGCACCATAAAAAACAAAAGAAACAAAACAGCAGAGAATAGAGACAAAAATAAATAAATAAATAAACTTTAGGATAAAACAAGATATGTGCATGTGTCTTATTTACATCTGTACAGAATTTGCATAATAATAATACAAATAATGATACTAACAATAATAATAATAATAACATTAGGGTTTATTCAATCATGTGACATAAAAACATCTTAACAAACACAGTCACAAGAAAAAAAAAATCTAAAATATTTTTAAAAAATGTCCCCAAAGAATCAAGAAAGTCTCATTTAAAAATATTCAATATAAAAGTTTTTTTTGATTGAACCGGTGAACTTCTCCTGAGCGCTCAGATCAGTTTAGAAACAGAAACATTTTTGAACTTTCAACAAAAAATTCTGAATTTTATCAAAGATTTTTTCTCTGGTGTTTTTATGTCAAATCTGTTTTTAATGTCGACCTTCCAGAAAAATTCCTGATAATTAAAAATCTTTTTTTTTTTTTTCTGCTGAAGCTGCAAAAGTGAAAAACATCCGCCGAGGAGTGAAAGAGGTCCAGAAGTTCATCAACAAAGGAGAGAAAGGGTGAGTCCGCCATCTTAGTGAGGGACAGGTGTGAACGGAGGGGGCGGGGTTATTTCTGACTGTTTTTATTTTTATTATTGCCTTTCACTGTGTGAACTTTGACATCTGTTTTCACTGAAAATTATAAATACATTTATTATTATTATTGTTATTATAATAAATGGACATGTGACAGAAACACAGGTGAAGTTGACCTGGTTAAACAGGTGATGTTGACCCCTCCCTCGTGTCTCTGTGGTCAGGATCGTGGTGTTGGCCGGAGACACGCTGCCCATCGATGTTTACTGTCACCTGCCCGTCATGTGTGAGGACAGGAACCTGCCGTACGCTTACATCCCGTCTAAACTGGTGAGACTGGAACAGGGTTAGCTTAGCATGTTAGCTTTGTGCAACACATGAATGACTGAGACAGGTAAAGGTAAACAGGTGTACAGGTGTTAGCCTCTGCGCTGACAGCTGATTGGTTCTCTGTCTCGACCTCCTTCAGCAGAATGTTTTAAATTGATTAAAAAAACTTTAAAATTGATTAAAAGAGTTTTAAAAATTTAAATGTTTATTTTTCTTTGATCGTCTTTCCAGGACGCAGTACTTTTACATACATACATACCGCATCCAGGACGTGATAAAAGTTTGAATCCTCGTCAGTGATGTTTGTTATCATGGCGGCCATGTTTGTCTTGGTGTGTTTCTGACGTCATGTGACTCAGTGGGGGGGCTGGTCCTGGTTCTGTTTTGTAGGATCTGGGTTCGTCTGCAGGATCCAAGAGGCCCACGTGTGTGATCCTCATCAAAGCTCATCAGGACTATCAGGAGGCGTACGACGAGTGTTTGGAGGAAGTCAGCAGTCTGCCCAAACCGCTCTGAGGAGACGGCCAATCAGGGAGCAGCTCTGAGGGGAGGCCAGCCAATCAGGGA